ACCTGTTTACCTGCTCTCTTTGACCCGACACAAGTGTCACTCAATCACTTGACCTTCCTTGACATCTCTAAGCTAGTCCTGATACTTTCCCTTCCTTTCCCTTACTCTCCTGCCATCTCCACATCTCTGCACCTGCAGACCCAATTTCCTGCACATCAGACTTCACCCATTACCTTCAGACTTGATCCCTGACCTTCGGACTTTCAACCCTTTTGCATAGTACTGGTTATTGAACTTGACTAGACAGCAGATCCCTTGGGTTGAACATTCTTGCTTACAAGTGTAGCAGCTAGGCAGGACTAGTAGACATATATTGGCTAGGTATCTTAACAACTATCTAGCCAAGTTGTGTTATCCACATCAGATTTGGACCCTCCTGATGAGCTCACCACCCAAGAGCCTCTGTTTAATGACTTGCCTTATCAGATACACCACTTCACGATGGTGACAGCCACACATGGCTACTATCTCCCCAAGACTTGCCACCTTCCCAACACACCAATTCAACACTTGATTGAACACCATGGTGCCTCACTATTTATCACAGCTCTTGAAATGTTCATCCACAAGCACATCCTATCTTCAATCTGGTCACATAGCAAGTTAATTCCACAGGAGTGCATTAACATCTACAAATATCTGGCAGTCCTCTCACCTGCTTGCCTGCACATCAGCAATTCAAAATGTTTCTTCAAAATCCATACATTGCCAGTTGTGGCATCCAAGGATGCAAGAAAGTCACCAGTGCCTGTAAGATTTGACAGCACACTATTCATTGAACAACAAGGATTATACACAGGCAAGGGTATATCAGGTGAGTAGTGTGGTCTCATATTAACAAGTCTTCTGACTGGACTCAGGGCTTCATGTGGGAGAGATCAAGGTTATATTCACCCTCCGCGTTTTGGCAAATTGCTGCACCCCCTCCTTTATGTTCATTGGTTTTGGCCACTGCAAACATTTGATAATGATTTGCAGACCTTCCAGCTTGTTAGATTGTTACGTCAGCATGGCCCAAATGCTGCAGTTCTACCTGCTGATATACTCCTTTGGCCATGCCATCTGATTCTGTGTTTTTCTTGCGAGGGAATTGTTGATGAGGTAGAACAGTTTTATCTTAACCAGTACATTGACTTAGAATTATTTGAGTGTCTCTCATGATCTTTTTTTTTTTTCATTGTCAGCTATGTTGCTATGATCATGAGCTCAGATGATACATAGTGCCATGTAGTGATATGTACCATACATGGTTGCTATGTTGTGCAACTGGAACTACATAGCAATATATTGTGTTAGTGGGTGCAAATGGTACTTGACCTTTTTCCTGATGTAGGGTGTCCAGCACCAGATTTCAGCAAAGCTCAGCATGTCAATGCTAGGTGGTACAGAACAGTTTATGATGATTGGATGCAGCTCACCTTGACTTGTATCACTTTCACTAGAATAACTTAAAAAATCTCTGAGACTTCTAGGCAGGCATGCATGATGCATTGCAAGTGAAAATCACAACTGGTGACAGTTTTGGTAAATCTTCTCCCTGGACTTTTCTCCATCAGAAAAAAATGACAACTGTGCCAAAACCTGGGAGTAACATGTAAAAACCATTAAACTCATTGGACCCCAGTGAGTATGCTGTCCTGCATGATTTGGGAATCATGCAGAATATGTACAGTGGCTCAAAAAACTGTCCACATGTTTTGACATTTTTCACTATCTATGATATTGTGTGAGAACGAACAAATGCCTCAAGGACATGGTTAAACCACATTGTAGTATGGCTTCAGGGCTTTCATTTGAGCCCTACACCGTGGGAATCGGTGGAGATATGGTGGAGATACAAGGCTCACAAAATGGTGACTCATGTGGACAGTTTTTTGAGCACATATTAAAACTATATAAATCATCATTCATGACACCATAACAATCATGCCACCATTAAATAAATTATAAAGTGGTGTCATTATGTCATTTTAAAACCATATCTAACTATACAAACCAAAAATTTCCATATGTCATGGTTATATTCACCATGAAAGCCACCCCCCCTGCTCAAAGGGATAATATCCTCTCTCTTTCCTATTCTGGCCTCTCTGCTTGTCAAATTTCCTCTAGAACTGGAGTATCCAAGTCCACTGTGGCCAAGTTCATCAAAGAAAGTCACACAGACAAGGAAAACTTCTGTGAAGGGCATCCATCCAAGCTCACCTCTACTGATAGGAGGGCTATTATTCAACATATCACTACAGGAAAGGCTGATAATGCTGTCCAGGTCACCTATTACATCAATTCCACCATCACATTCCCTGTCTCTTCACACACTGAGAAACATTCTCAAGACAGCTCATCTCAGGTCAGTAACAAGGAAGAAAAGGCTCTCCTCTCTATCACACATATGCAGAGAGGACTAGCACCCTTCTTTTTTCACATATATACCTTGCCATCTGACCCAATCCTATTTATTGTGGTCTTATATGATCATATAACATGCTTCCAGTCCATGTAATCCAATTCTGATGGGCTAAGGCAAAGGTTAGTCATCTCTGTTTATGTGTGATAGAGAGGAGAGCCTTTTCTTCCTTGTTACTGACCTGAGATGAGCTGTCTTGAGAATGTTTCTCAGTGTGTGAAGAGACAGGGAATGTGATGGTGGAATTGATGTAATAGGTGACCTGGACAGCATTATCAGCCTTTCCTGTAGTGATATGTTGAATAATAGCCCTCCTATCAGTAGAGGTGAGCTTGGATGGATGCCCTTCACAGAAGTTTTCCTTGTCTGTGTGACTTTCTTTGATGAACTTGGCCACAGTGGACTTGGATACTCCAGTTCTAGAGGAAATTTGACAAGCAGAGAGGCCAGAATAGGAAAGAGAGAGGATATTATCCCTTTGAGCAGGGGGGGTGGCTTTCATGGTGAATATAACCATGACATATGGAAATTTTTGGTTTGTATAGTTAGATATGGTTTTAAAATGACATAATGACACCACTTTATAATTTATTTAATGGTGGCATGATTGTTATGGTGTCATGAATGATGATTTATATAGTTTTAATATGTGCTCAAAAACTGTCCACATGAGTCACCATTTTGTGAGCCTTGTATCTCCACCATATCTCCACCGATTCCCACGGTGTAGGGCTCAAATGAAAGCCCTGAAGCCATACTACAATGTGGTTTAACCATGTCCTTGAGGCATTTGTTCGTTCTCACACAATATCATAGATAGTGAAAAATGTCAAAACATGTGGACAGTTTTTTGAGCCACTGTATATGACATATCATCCCACATTTCCATAGTCTGTTAGCTTAGTCCTCAGACTACACAAAATGTACTTTGAGTACAGACTCAAGTGCAATATTTCACTTTGCATGCTCCAATCATGCAAAAATATGGTGTGTTGAAGAAAAGTTAAATATGATGAAGAAATCATATATTGACCTAGTCCAAGTTGATAGTCATACAAAAGCTTAGGTTATTGCCTGTTTTTTGGCTTATTTACTTTGACTAGAAATAACCAAGGAGAAGAGATAAAGCCTACCAAAACCCTATCTAAAAAGCCAGTGTTTTGATTTGTTCTGTCTTATGATTTATTCTACTTTATTTTTCTTTCATTTCTTTACCTACTTGATTCTTTGACCTTCCAGAGACTCCACAAAATGTACCTGCAGGATATGATGTCATTGGATGCTAGAATGTTCTGCTCCACTTGGCTCCACTTGGCTCCACTTTTGCTCCACTTTGCTCCACAATGAGGTCATTTATGATGCAATTCTGATGTCATTTCTCTTTCCAACCTTATTTCTTGGTACTATATAGTTTCTCCCATCTCATGTATTTAAGGAGAGCTCTTCTCCACCCATAAAAATAAGAACTTCTTTTACTGTTTAAAAGAACACTCCAATTCTTCCACTTTCTCTGACATTGACACTCTTTGTGTTAGCCAGGAAGTGCAGACCAAGTACATTTGGTTTACTTGCTCTGAGATCATTTATTCTTTTCTTGACTGTACCTGTGCTGTCTAGTGTGCATCTGACATATAGTTTCAGAGGACTAGAAGTACCAAGTCAAGCCTTATCATCTGTGCCTACAGATTCCTTTGCTGGAATATCTACTCTTGTATCATATCATCTTCCTTGGATTAAACCCTTTGCATTTAGGCAGGGAAATCCAATCAGCTTCTACCTAGTTCCCTTTGATAAGTCCTTTAGTATATCAAGGCAGGGGAATATCTAGCATTATTTGCTACCTAATTTTGTGCATAGTATGCACCTATTCTTTATTTTCTGTCTAGTCAAGCATAGGACTAGAGAGACTGAGCCCCTTCAGTGACAAACTCTGTATTATATGGGTCACCTGACCTACATAATATCCCATATAAGACAGGCCAGTGGACTATGGGCCAATGTTATGTATATTCTCGATGTTGACGGGTGGGCTGGGAGGGATATTATTTCTGATGGGGATGGGTAGGCCCATCTATGCTGATGTTATAAATATCCTTGATGATGATGGATGGGCCGGACAAAATATTATTACTGATGGAGATGGGTGGGCCTATCTGGGCAATATGTATAGTAGGATAGACATATATTATAGACAGCTGGGCTGAAGAGAGATGTATGGTAGATATTATTATATAGACGGGTGGGCTGATGTAGGGTATATTAGATAGACAGGTGGGCTGATGGGGTGGGGAAATATGTATTATATATACAGGTGGGCCGATGTATGGTGCACATCACTTAGTCACCGCTACTTTTGTGCAGGCGCCAAATTGACACAAAAAATCGTAACCCTAACCCCAAGTCCAAATTAGGCTGGGGCGGGAGGAGCAGCTTTGATGTTAGCATAGCTATGGTCAAGTTACAGCTGTGCATTTCTGTTAAGGTTGTGTGCTCAAGGGGGTCGGATCACAAGGGCTTGGCCTCAGCTTGTACACTGTGCCCCTTTCCCGAGTATGAGCCCTTAATTTCTGGGGGCTAGAACAGTCATCCAGAGTTTCCAGGTTTTGACTAGGGCAGATAACGGACGTCTGGATCTGAAACATGAGATAAATCTGACAGACATCTGGATGTTACCTGGGCAAGTGGATAAGACTAATCCAGATGAAGTCCGGACCAGAAACTAACAGAGGATGGACTACCTTTATGGTAGAGTCGGAAATGTAGTCTAGGATGCAATCCTAAGACTCAGAATATGACAAGAGACTTATCTCAAGTCCAGAGGACACAGGAATGAGCAGGAACTAAGATGATATTCAAACTGGAGTATTTCCAAGAGTTACAGGAGGTTTATATACTGTAGGTATCATATAGGAATCAGTCAGCAAACATAAAGGCTATGTACGAAGCATATGCAGAGTCTATTAGTAAGTAGGATGGACCACAAATAATGAACACCGGAAATGAAATGTATGTAATGGATCAATAATCAAAAGGGAAACATGGTTAACTGGAGTCCGGAGACAGGGGCAGTCTAAATGGAGTTGGGCGCTGATATAGGGTTTGGATTCTGGAAGGGAGATAAAGATAGATCAGATCATTTGAGATCTGGATCTCGGATCTGGATATCCAGAGAAGTGGATCTAGAGTTGAGAGTCTAGAATGGCATATGACAGTTTCATGCAGTACCTAGTGATGGTGAATCCAAATAAATCCCTTGTTACGAGGACCATTCATCATGGCCAGAAAAGCCAAAAAAACTGCAGTTGCACATGCTTGAGCCTTTCATCACATGAAACACCACCCAGCAGAACCCAATGATGCTCAACCAGTGGGCCACAATGATGATGATGTAAAGAATGAGTATGATTACAAAAGCAGCATCAACTGCTACTAATCCAAAGACAGTAATTATGCACCAGATTCTGACTCAGACTGATCTAATGGTGATGAGAGTGTCATGGAATTTGAGGGTGAAGAGCTGGAGCAGAATTTGATGGTGCTAAGAGCTGAGGTTGAGGCACTAAGGTGCCCAACAAAATATGAAGAAGTTAGTGCAGCCTCAAAAATGACAATGAAAGATTGGCAGAAAGTGGAGAGCAACAGGGCTTTGGGGTACACCAGGAATTCAATTCAAATGGCACAGCAAAACATGAAGGCTGCATGCGACTGTGAAAGGGAATGTATCACTGTGAAAAAATCGTGAGTGTCCAGTACA